CCCCAAAACCCCAAAACCCCAAAACCCCATGAAGCTAGAAATAATTGGTTGAAAGTTTCTGTGATATCATATTAAAAAAGAGATAGATATTTAAATTTAGATTATTCCTCTCTGAAAATTAATGGATCACTCAATAATTGTGGTTCTTATGAACCTAGGCATGTTTGTCATCACTTTTCTTATGGGCTTTTTGCCTTCAAAGCTCAACACATCGTAAAGAATTATGAATCTCATCGCCATATTCGGAGCGGGTTTATTGGTCGGAGCCTCTATCATTGTGATCGTACCTGAGGGAATGCTTGTGCTGATATAATCAATGCAAACAACTTCGATCATATAAGAAACTAATCCGGTTTAAAATCAAATTCAAGCTTTCCAAGAAAGTTAAGATGGAAAAATTAAGAATTTTGCTAATCTTCATTAATCAACTGAAAGAACTGGCGCGATTGATCCACAAGTGACCAAGTATATTGGTTTGTCTTTGATAATTGGATTTACAATCATGTTGATATTGGATTAAAGTTTTTTGATGATTAAAGAGAGACAAATGTAAAAGGGGCACAAGGGCAAAAATGGTCATGAAAAACACGAGGAGGGAAGAGTTGTCACTTTTGTCTTTAAGAGTGACGAAGAACTAAGAGTAAGTTTATTTATGATAGTTAAACCTTATTAATAGAAGCAAGAAATGATTGAGCCTCTACTTAACACAGATGAACCATGTTCAATTGAAAAGAAAAGAGAAAGAAAGCACTCCAAATGTCATGAAGTTGATCATGTAGCTATTAATTACAATTATTATTTAATAGAAAGTGAAACTTGATGAGCATAAACTTGAGGAGGTGTCAAAACATTTGCATCTGCATCAAAAGGGTGAATTAACATAAGCACACGAGCACTATCATGGAGGCAAAGAAAATATAATAGTATCTACTATTGGGTTAGTTATTCACTCTTTAGCTGATGGTGTGGCACTAGGTGCTTCACTTTACTGTAATTTATTGATATAAACTTATTATAATACCAATTAGTAAGTACTAAGAGTGCTTAATCATCTGGCTTGGGAGTTTTGATTTTTTTGGCTATACTCTTGCATAAGGCACCAGCAGCTATAGGATTCGGGACTTTTCTCTACCATGAGGGGCTTAGGGGTTTATAATTATCTAAATACCTTTTTGCTTTCACTTCTACATGTCCTTTGGCAGCTATTATTTCCTTCTTTAGTTTGATGATATGGGAAGAAGGAGCTGAGGATCCATCATAATTGATGTTTTGGGTTGGAATCTTATTATTACTTTCAGCAGGTTCATTTATTTACGTTGCTACCATTCATATCTTACCTGAAGTATACTGTAATACAGACATTCATAGACCCCACACTCATTCTCATTTGCCCGAGGATCATATTCATGATGAGGAGCATTTCAGTAAATTGACTGAGCTAATCACCATTATAATAGGATTATATGTTCCTTATGGACTAATGTTGTTCCACTCTCATTGAGTGCTATTTAAATCTAAATGCAGTAATGAATTTTTTAAGTAATTTTCATTTTAATTTGGCAAATCCAAATCTTTGGTTCGGGGTTTTGGGGTTTTGGGGAGATCGGAAGAGCGTC